AAAGGTTAAACAAGACACGTAAACGTTGTTTTTTCCTTGTCGACAAAACAAACACATAAAGATACCGTGTATATTTCACCTCAATTGAATTCTATCCGTTATTCACAAGTATAATGCATAAAAGGTTGAATTTTTAATTGAATGAGGTCATAATATTTGTGTTTGCTACTATACTTATATCAAGTATTATGATTAACTTAGGTCACATTTGCTTATCAGAAAAGAATGAAATAAAATGGATTAAAAAAATAAAAGTATAAGTGTGATAATTAAAGAAAATAGGTGAGCACATTTATAAAGAGAGAAATAATTTAGTTCATAAAATTGAGAATTATAATTCATGAAATTTTTGGAGGGTATGATAATTTTTACATTTATAAAATACATTAATGAGTTTTATTATACTTATCATAGGACTATAGGCAATTCAATTCATTTTTACTTCAATTTTTTTAATTCATTTTATTATATTTCTTTCTAGCAACCAAACCAGATCTTAATGTTTATGTGCAAAACCTTGACTCTATTTACCCATATTCTTAACACTGTGGAACCTAATTCATCACCAAAGCCAGAATCTTGAATCATTGCTCCCCACCACCATCGTCATTGCTCCAAACACAAACCCACAGGCGAATATGTATCAACATAAGTGATATTCTGCAGAGATAAGGCTGAACCAGACAGGATACACACGACTGATACAGATAGAATGGAATCAGTAGCTTAAGATATTGTGATTGTGGGTGCTGGGATTGCTGGCCTTGCAACCTCCTTGGGACTTCACAGGTACCTCCCCGTTAGTTCTGTGTGTCAATTTCAAGTGTTAACAGAGTCTTCTTCTTCTTCTTGGTGCTTACTGAGCCTTGTTTTGATGCCTGTGTATAATGCAGGTTAGGTGTTCGAAGTTTGGTTTTAGAGTCCTCGAATGGCTTGAGAGTCACAGGTTTTTCTCTGACAACATGAACAAATGCTTGGAAAGCCTTGGATGCTCTTGGTATTGGCCACATCCTTTGCCGGCAACAACTCAGATTCACGGGTACTCATTCATATATAGTTGAAGTTGGATGTTCTGTAATCCTGCAGTATTCATACATATTGAAGAAATGAGAGAGATAGACCCCAAAGATTAAGACTAATGTATAGAATAGGATGTGCATGCTTTGGTGGTTTCCTTTATGAAACTGCTCAATTTGGAAATACACTTGTCTCGGGACTTTAATTTCCTTTTATATATGCTTGATACATTAGGGTCCTCCGCCCATAATTCATACTAGATAGAGTCTATATGCATGTCAAGAATTGAAGAAGCATACTATGCTTCTAGTACGAGTGTCAATTGGACTTTTTAAAACAACTTTGCCAAAAAGAAGCATAGAGATGGCCAAATGTCAGATCCCACTTATTGTAGGACTGAATATATGTCAGAAGTAGGTGTAGAAGCAAATGCACAAGCCCAGTTCATTGAGGCCGAAGCATAGCCCACCAAATCTGATACTGTTACTCAGTGTAGGCCCCACTATTACTTGGTACTGCTACAGGCCTACAGAGCCACGCGTCCCTCTTCTTATCTTTTTGAGCTTATCATTTTCTCTTCGCCGGTAGCACGCTGACGCTCCTTTCGTCTATAAATACTGCACTGTAATTATTATGAGCAATGGATTCTACTAATTGAGATGCATTACTTTAGCTTTATTATACCTCTTTAGTACGATCCAATATTATGCAGGAGTATTGATAGAAAATCAAATGTTTATGCAAGTGTTTTTGTATTGCTTTGATTACCATCGATCAATTTTGTTCTCGTATATTAAATATAAGCAAATGGAGTGCAGGAATGTCACAACATCTTTGATTACGGGACAACGAACTTCAGAAACGTCTTTCGTCGATGCCATTGGAAAACAAAAACGTAAACAGGACAACGTGCACACTACTTAATTAATTGTATCATTATCTTTCATATTTGATGTTTCATAATTTATCGAGCAAGTTTTCCATTCTTAAAAGACTGTCTAATGCTAAATCACCTCGTCATTAACTGTGTATTTGGTCGATATAAGCACTTTCAACGTTGAAACAACAAATTGTTGCCTTTTCAAAGTGCTTTTGGTGGGGCTAATGCCCTATCACCACTCCAAACATACTCTAACACGATTTGCACGTGTGAGGTATTTATTTGAATTGAGTTTTGAACTAATCTAGCTACTTGATTGGTTAGGCTAATTGATATACAAATGATAATTGAGATGGCTTTTAAATATATGCAATGCAGTGGGGGCCATGAAATGCGTCGTGTTGAACGACAAGTGTAAAACAAAGAAGATGATGATGGAAACAATTGAAAGACAGAGAGGAAAAGACAAGGAAGTGAGTCAAATTAAAATGAAATGGAATCAGAGACACTAACAAAAGGCGCTTCCATATATAGAAACAAAGCAAAACATTTATGTATTGGCAGACAACCATATTCTGCAAATTACTCACACTCACGTGTCTTCCTCCCCCTCCATTATTCCCCAAATCCTCATCCTCCTTTCCCATTACTCTTTTTTCCTTTTAAGATCGCATGGGATTCAATTATGATCACTCTTTCTATAAAACCAATTCTTCCAATAAGCCATGAATAGAGAGATCCCGCGATTATTGATTTCTTCAAGTGTCCTTTTTCGTCTTACAACCTGCTAATTAATGATCATAATAAAAGAAGAAGAATGGAGAGGGACACAATTTTGTCATGAACAAGGATTCTTGTGCAGGGTGTATGAACTGTGCACTATTTAGTGACTTAGCTAGAGATCATATTAAAAGGCCACGTGTCATTGGGAGATACATGCATGAATCTCATAGTCATAATTGAGAGACTCCAATTTCATGTGAGATTGATTTAGGAAATACTAATTAATATAATTAATGGGAAGTGGCCAATGAATTCCTTCGATCTGTTCATTTTTGTGCTTGTTATTCCTTCCTTTTTCCTTTTACGTAACGTATTTGCTTATCATCTGGAGGCAAATAATGTGGCGCATTAGTAAAAAATCCCAAGGAATCATTCATTATTTTGTTGATTAGCTTGCATTTTTGTCTGTAAAAGTTCATTAGAGTTTTTTTTATAGTTATCTTATCTTGATTTAGTCCGTCAATAATTGTTACGTATTATTTATCTTGTCTCTTTGAAGAATTGGATCCAGAAAGGCAGCAATGATCAGTCTTCCTCATATTGACAGATAGCTGATAACGAGCCAAAAAGTATCTAAAAAAAAATTAAATTTTTTAATTTTTAACATAGGTAATTTTTAGATGGTCTTAAACAGTAAATACACTCATACAACGCTTGTATATTTCATATCACAAGAAAGTGCTCGAATTTAACACAGTTAAAATGTCATATAAAAAATAGCATTTATGACATAATAATAGTACTCTTATTGATCAACAAAAGTTGGCTTAGTTGGTAAGGAATCTACAAAATCGTGGGATCAAATCTCATGTCCGATGTGAAAATATTGTTAGTAGATAATTTATAAGTATTTTTATAAATGCTTTTTGAACTTAAGGGATATGTTGTCCTTTGAGTTATTAGTATCCAACTCACTTAAATATTTTATTATTAAAAAAAGTACTCCCATTTAATTTAATCCAAAGTGCTTTAAATTAAAGCACAACCGTTAAAGAAGATAGTTTTGGAAATATATTGTTATTTTTTAAAAGATTAAGGGTGTGTTTGAATTTTAATTAAAAAAAAATTGATTAAAAAAATTGATTATTAGAATGTGATGGTGTTTGGATAAAATTTCAAGAATTGATTATGATATTGATTTTTTAAAATGGAACAAATTTCAACTTCTTCCAAATAGAGTTTGAAAAAATTGGGGTGTTTGGATAAAATTTTTCAAAATTATAGTTTTGAACCTAGAATTGATTTTAAAAGGGTATCCAAACAAGCTCTAAGATTGTTAGCTAATTTTACTTCACACCTTAATCTAGAAAATATAAAATGGTCCTTTATGACAGAGTTATAACTTTTTCTTGCCACAGGGATTTATATCTTTAAATGATCAAGTTAAGATGTTAATCATTTTTAAGAATGATTACGTTAAGAAGTGAATGAATCTACAAAAAGAAAATTAATGACTTGTGTAGAATGAAGTACTAAAGTCTTATTTTGTTTTATTTCAAATAAAATTGATGCTTCTTCCAGAACATGAAAGATATATTTCACTCAACCACTCATTTATAGTCACTTAAAAGCTAATTCTAATTAGTTTCATAAAAAAAACTAATTATAATTGGCGTAATATAATTACAAAGTTAAACTGGCTGCAAGCTTTTGATATTAAACTAGGCCTATTTTCTTGTACGTTAAACATAATATTGTACTTAATTAGTCTAATACATGAATTACATCATATTTATGACTTACAAATAGTGTGCGATTAATTATTATCAATTGATTAAATAATATTTCTTATACCTCTTTGAGCCAACTCTCTTGCTCCACCTCTTAAATTAGCAATCAAAACTTTTTTTCTCTGGCCAATAAATAAATATATAATCGTTCCAAACAAAAATATAGGGTTCTTGCTGGCTGCTGCTATCTCCGTGTATAGTGGTGAATTAAAAATAAAAGTGCCAGATGTTGATAAGAAAGCATGTGCATGGACATTAGCACATTATCAAAAGTGAATTCCCATTCGCCAAAGATATTATATTAAAGTGCCAAAAAAAGTTATATTCTTCATTCCCTTTCCCCCAATAAGCCAAAGACATCCGTATATGCTAGATTCTGCCATTAACACAAAATAATAGCAATACAAACTCATTTTAATAAATATAAACGCAAATTATCATACTCTCTTGCGTGTTCTACTGACTATTTTACAGAAAAAGACAAGCCAACTTTGTGAAAACACAACACACATGTCCTTTCCCTATATAGACAAGCCTGTTTGGAATCTAGATTTCTTTATGGGTCCAAACACATGACACTTATAAAAATGCCTTCAAGATCTCACTTCACTTTGTATAGCCCAGCTAACTCTTCATTCATTCCTTCACATTCATTACCCTGATCAGCATCGTCTTCCTTCTGATCTGTGTACAATGTCTAGGGTTATGGAACCACTTACAGTGGGAAGAGTGATAGGAGAAGTTATTGACGTCTTTAGCCCCAGCGTGAGGATGAATGTGACATACAATTCCAACGTCCGAGTCGCCAATGGTCATGAGCTTATGCCTTCAATGGTTACTGCCAAACCAAGAGTCGACATTGGTGGTGATGACATGAGATCTGCATATACCTTGGTAAGTTTCTCACTTTCTTTCTCAGTTGGTTTTTTTTTTTTTTTTTTTAAAGTATTGCAGATACATAGTAGTCTTGTCGTTTGAGTCGGCGCGAGAATCTTCTTGCATCAGAGACAACGAAAAGGAGAGAAAGCAGTGAGACTCACTTGTGTGAGTTTAGAGTCTCATAGAGTCCATTTTGTCTCTCTTTTTTATTTTTTCTCATGCAAGTGAAGGAGTGCAGATCTGTGTTGTCAAAGATTTACAGAAAACCACCTGTATCTAGCGCTAAAAATTTAGCCAGTTGTATTTATACATGTATATATTCTGCTGTTTACTGACATAAGTTATATATATATACATATACACTTATGCTCTTATTTCCTTGCACTTGTGTGAATCTGCAGATTATGACAGACCCAGACGCTCCGAGTCCTAGTGATCCATATCTAAGGGAACATCTCCACTGGTTAGTATTCTCGAAACTCTCTAATGCGTATGTATCAGATCACATACAAGTTTCTGTTCTCTATTCCCAACATGTTGGTGTCCAATTCCTGCAGGATGGTCACAGATATTCCTGGGACCACAGATGCTTCCTTTGGTAACTACTCTGAGCTTAACTAGTCCATTCTTCTTCTTTTTTCCTGAATAAAAAGACAAGCTCATAATAAACTGTTAGATATATACATATATACTTGTTGAAACAATACGTGAAGAAGGAAATGTATATGTAAATAATTAATAAAAAAAAATATTGCAGGAAGAGAGATAGTGGGGTATGAAAGCCCAAAGCCAGTGATAGGAATCCACAGATACGTATTCATACTATTCAAGCAGAGAGGAAGACAGACAGTGAGAGGACCGAGTTCAAGAGATAATTTCAACACGAGGAGCTTCTCTCAGGATAATGGCTTGGGCCTGCCTGTTGCTGCTGTTTACTTCAACGCCCAGAGAGAGACTGCTGCGAGAAGACGATGAAAACCCTACCTACCTCTCATCTGTCTCACTACCCTAACGGATCTCAATGCTAGCTCTTCAAGCATTATTATTATTATTATTAAGTAAATTAGAAGAGAAATAAAGAGTGAATAAATACAGTAGGTGGAATTCATATTCACTCTTCACTTGTATTCTTTCATAATATTCTCTTGCTGGGATGTTGGGCAGTGAATAAATACAGAAGGTGGAATTCATATTCACTCTTCACTTGTATTCTTTCATAATATTCTCTTGCTGGGATGTTGGGCCATTATTGTATAGTCTATTAGCTATAAAGCCTTGTATTGTTCTCGAGTTTATGTAGGATTTGGGATACAAGGTAGAATATGGATGATCCATACCTATTATTTAATCACGCTTCTGCTTATCGCCTTTTGTTTTGTTTTGTTTTTGGCGTTTGACTTGTGAACCCAGGAAGATTCAAGGGCAAAGAGTTTATAAGAAATTTAAGTACAAGAATTACTGAACAAAAGATTCAAGGACATTTTTACTCTTTATAATCCAATGGCTCCAATGGCTATCAATATTAATGTTCGTTAGCCGAAGATGATATTGCAATGATTTTGATATTTAAAAGGTAATATTACTCTAATAAATAATTTATAACAAGGGTAAAAGTACCCACCAAATGATCGGCTAGGAGTATCTAGTGGCCTAAATTGAGAAAAGAACAAAAATACTAATAATATTATCAAAGTTGATGCAAAAGTAATAAAATCATTAACATGTCCTAACATTTTTGGTGTTAAATGCTAACTGTACTTGTCACGTGTTAATATTTGCTAACGTGGAATAAAAAAGGGTAAAAATACTTAAGAAGTCGTCTGCTAGCAGTATCCAATAGTCTAGAGTAAGAAAAAGGATAGGAATACTCATAATGGTACTTTAATACATGTAATAGTGATCGATCCATCAAATCTCTTAAAATGTTGATCGTTTAGCTGATACCTAAGTAAAAGTTGATTAGTCATCGTATCAATGTCATATAAAAAAAATATCATTTTAACCGAATAACAAACAAATGGTTTGCTTTTTTCCAATAACATCAAAAGTCATTTGAGAATTTCAAAACTCATTGTAAACAAAATCGTTTAAGGTTGGGCCAATATTTTTAAGGAAGCACTACTACAAAACTACAAATATAGGATGCCTAATATAGGAAATTATAAAGAAAGCTATCCTATATGGAGAGGCGTTCAAAAAAGTAAAAAAAATTAGTTTGACCAATATAAGATGGTTGCTTATCAAACCATCCTCTATAATAATTTATAGCACAGTTATCTTTGTAACCATCCATATAATTATTCAAATTTTAAAAATTTATTTATTTTTAAATAGTTAATGTTTATAGGTTGATTCTCTTTTAGAACCGTCCTATATATTATAACATATAAGACAGTTATCACCTTGAACCATCCTATATTGCCTTTAAACCCCTAAATCCCCAATTCATTTTAGTTTCACCGCAATGTCTCTCTTCCTTCTTCATATGTTTCCTCGACCGTCACCCACGCCCTTTGCCATTTTCATCTTTGTCGTCCTTGGCCATCACCCACTCGCCCTTCATCTTCATCTTCGTTTTAAGCTCGAGCAAAGATTTTGGTCTCATTAAGGAAAGCTCGCCGTGGGTTTTTGAAAAGTTGGGCACTGCTTCTGCTTCGTCTCCATCTTCGTGGATCTTCAAGATTCATCTCCATTTGAGCTCAGCCATCAGCTTCCTCAAGCTGAGCACTGTTTCTGCTTCGTCTTCATCTTCAAGCTTCCTCTTCATCTACCTTTAGGTATTTTTTTTTTATTTTTTTAATATATTCAATTATAATTTGTTTGAAATAAATAATTAGGATTTTTCTTGGCTAAGTTTAATTTTTCGTAACTTGCTTTTGTTGTTTGATTTCTTTTGTTCAATAATGTGAATTTAAAAATCTCTCATGTTATTGAATTGTGGAATTGCTATTGTGTGCAACATTTTAACTTTTTAAATGATGTTATGTTTGGGTTTTAATTTTAGGTTATATGGGGTTTAATTAAAATATTTGGGTTGTTGAATGTTGAATGTTGAATGTTGTTTGGATTAGATCGTTGAGTTGAAATAGGTCTGATTAGATTGTATTGGAAGAAACTAAGCATGAAGAGAGGGCTAGGTGTTCCAAAAAGTCCTAATTTTAAACTATTGTGTGGAATTTTTTTATTGAAGGTACTAACCAACTAAAAAAATTAAAAAATTACACATGTTTTTACAATGTTACATTGAGTAGCTAGCTTTTTGACCGGAATAATAACGCTTTGAAATAATCTTTAAAAAATTAAAAACTACTCCTTCCATTCAAAAATGTAAGGTATTTTTTAAGAAGTTTGATGTTAAAAAATGTAAATCATTTTAATCTTTTAAGATGTAATTATTGCCTTTTTTTAAAAGTTCCTTTATTAATAACAACTTTATATTTATTATGAGGTGTTTAATAAGTAAAAATATAAAAAATAGGGTTAATTTGAAAGTAGCTAATTACTTTATTTGGGAGTGAGATTCGATTAAAAATGTATTATATTTTTTAACGAAGAGAGTAATTACTAATGTTTTAAAAACTAATTAATATACACACACGCTTACGTTATCCATATCATACCATATATATAATTTTCAGTTTGTAACAAATAAAAGAAAATAAAATAATATGAGATCAAATACACATGCATGCATGTATATCAATATGACCTCTATCTTGGAGTATTCCAAATCACGTGGTGACTATATTAACCTTTATTTCTCTTTATAATTATTTTTTGACAGCTTGTCATTTGTGTGTCTATATTAACCTTTATTTCTCTTTATAATTATTTTTTTGACAGCTTGTCATTTGTGTGTGTGTGTTTTCCCTTTATAATTATTTTTTTGACAGCTTGTCCTTTATTTCTCTTTATAATTATTTCTCTTCATAAATTAAGTGCATTTTATTATATTACTATTAAGTAATAGTTGTTGTTAGACTGTTGTTTTTGTCATTGAAGGTAATAGATGTGTTGATTAAGGGCTAAGTGCCCAAGAAATTTTCAATTTTAAATCATTATATTATTGAATTTTTTTTTAAAAGTACTACTAACTAGTTAGTACTCTTAAATGAAAATTTTTATTAGATGTTTTTGATAATGGCTCATGAATAATGCATTATTGTGTTAGTAGTTGGTACAAGTATGGAGAGACAAGGGACACAACCATAAATAGCCATAGCTATGTCATTGTGTAGTTTAGATATTTTAGGAATTGATATTTTAGTGCAAATTGATTGGTTTATATCATTAAATTTTAAATACAATAATTTTGATGTAATTAAATTGTAAACATTATAATTTTGAATTGAGTAATGTAAATATGATTTCTGAGCTATTCTAAAATATTATTGAGTATATTGTATTTGCATTGCAGGGGGCTGCTAGAAAAGCAGCCTCCCTATTTCCAAAAAAAAAAAAATCTAAGCTCATAACAATTCTATACGGCCAATTATAGAGGATGATTATGGAACGTGTATGTCTTATATGGCCTCTTTGCTTTTCTAAATCTGGAACTTCATATTATATTATCTCCTACCTATATATATTAAGTCCTTTATTAGGAAAAACAGTCGTCCTTTGTTGTTAGATCTATTGTAGTATAGGTGGCACAGGAGGTGTATATAGTCACGAAGGCGTTACAAGCAGAGACAACCTCCTTTAAGGAGTTTTTGCGTTCTTTACAGTAAGCCACAGCCTCTTTGTTCTCAATCTTTGATTACATACAACCTATCTTACTATGTTAAATCTCAAGTTTTGCAGACAAGAAAATTAAGTAGGGAGAGAGAGAGGAGATGGGATACATGGCAATGGAAAGAAACCACGTAGTATGAATTTTGACAATTTGATCACTATTGCATCTATTAAAGTAACGTTAACGGTACTCCTACTATTTTTTCACTTTAGGCTACTAGAAGCTTTTAGCCGATGACTTCTGTCTTTTTTTAGTCTACATTAGCAAATATTGACACATAGCAAGCACAGTCAGCATTCAACTCTAAAAACTAATGGACGTTAGGATAAGTTAACGGTTTAATCATTTTTTCACCAATTTTAATAATATTAAGAGTATTTTTGCCTTTTTTTTACTTTTGACTACTGGATGCTCCTAACCAATCATTTGGTGCGTTTTTTTACCCCTTTGCTCTTTATAATAAATAATATTACTTGTGAAATTGTTTAAAGGAAAAAATATTATTTAATGAACTAAAACAAATTGATGTATTTTGCTTGTGTTAAACATGATTTTTTGGTTTTCAAAAGATCCAATGATCCATATTAGGATAGGTGTGTGTGAAATTAGAACCAGAAATTTAAGCAGGCTGAACTTATTTAGACTTGGCTCAAATAGACCTAAACTCGAATAGGCCAAACTTCAAACAAAGCCTAAATGGTCAAGCCTAGCTTGAATTCCTTCCAGCTTCAAATGATCTAAATACTTGGATTTTATTTTTAAAATCATTTTTAATTTAATTTTTTTCTTTAAAATTAATGATTTTGTCTTATAAAAAATATAAAATATATTTTTTGGATACTTAAACAATGTACAGGATTCAATGTGGGTCTTAAACTCCAAAATTCAATGTTAAAATATATTTTTTAATATTATTTTAAGATATTTTATAGATTAAAAATAATAAAAATATCACAAGATAAACATTTTTATTTTTTAAAAAAATATCTATAGTAATGCACTCAAATATATAGTATTTTAATATAAAATGACTTAAAACTTAAAGAATTAATTAAGATTTACTATATTTTATATATTTTTAAAAAAGATAATTTTTTTTATTCAGGTATTAAGGTCAAACCCAAACTTGATCAGCGTTGGCCCGAATTTTTCTAGGCTTATTTGAGTAGCCCAATTAAGCTTAAAGTATTAATATATTTTTAAAATATTAAGCTCAGCCCGAACTTTTTTGGGCTTATTCAAGCCAGTCCATAAGGCTTGACCCAAATTACTAACTCTATGTGAAGTTGTTCCATGTAAAAAAAAAAAAAAACTCACATCACATAATATGAATAGAGTTGATAACCCAAGTCAGGCTAACTCTAATAAGCTCGAAAAAAGTCCAAGTCAAGCATAGTACTTTGGAAAAAAATCAATATTTCAAGCTTATTCGAGTCTCAAATAAGATTAAAAAATTCAAGCCAAGCCCAATCAGAATAAAAAATTATCTTTTTGAAAAATATATAAAATATAATAAATATTAATTAATTTTTTAAGTTTAAGATCATTTTATACTAAAATACCATATATTTGAGTGCATTACTATGGATATTTTTTTAAAAAAATATTTATATTGTAATATTTTTATTATTTTTAATCTATAAAATATCTCAAAATAATACTCAAAATATATTTTATTATTGATTTCTACATTTTAAGACCCAAATATTTTTTTTAAAAAAAATTTGAGTCCTGTGCATAATTTAAATATCCAAAAAGTATATTTTATATTTTTATAAAATAAACTAAATAATTTTAAATAAAAAATTAAATTAAAAATAATTTTAAAAATAAAATTTGAATATTTAGGCATCCAGAAACCCAAAAGAATTTGGGTTGCGTTTGACCATTTAGATATTTTAGAAATCTAGTCTACTCAAGTCTATTTGGGTCAGGCTCATTTGAGCCGGTTCTCCAAATTCTCGACATTAAATATGAACACCACAATACAGTGTTGATATCACTTTTCACTTTTATTAACAACAGCTTTTTGGTTTTTCAGATTAATTTGGTTTTAAATTATCAGATTCAATTAGTTTCTGTAATTAGCTACGTAAAAATAATAGTGTTGTTCATCTCAAAACAATGAATTGTTATTTGATTGGCTAGACTACTTATCATATATCATTTGATTTCTTATCAATTTATAACGGCTTCTCACTTCTGTTATCCTACTTGACTTATATAAGAGTCCAAATTTAAGAGTGGAATTTTTCTTTTTCCGATAAAAAGAGGGGAAATGACAAGTATTGTTTTTCTAAAGACATTATTTGCAGTTAAAAACTGCAAATTTCAGGAATCTTAAATAAGTACTGTGGTTCTTGCTGAAAATATTTTCTTCCAAATTAATTTTTTATGTACTAAGTTTAATGTTCTTAGTACTGATGATTGATTGTTAAATCTCTTATATTAAATATGTTTAAGAATAGTATACTTTATTAAAATAGTTTAAATCATTTAATTAGATGCTTCCTAAATTTATATGTTTATGATCTATATTTTAACTTTTAGATGTGAAATTTCTTTCATCTTCTAATATTTTCTCAACTCATTTTTTCATTTTTTTTTTCATTTTCATCTTCTTTTTGCCTGCACTTGCGTTTCTTTTTTCTAGTGTCAAAAACTTCAGATTTATTCAATTTTTTCTTCTCCTCTCTTTGTTTTCCATCAACATTCTTTCTTTTTTAACTCCTCTTTACCACTTACCTCAATCGAATATCCTGTGAAAGATCAACAAAAGGACAGATTTGTAGCAAGAAACTGACAAATTAACTTTAAAATTTGAATCTCCCGAAATAATAAGCGCTTATAAAAATGGAGAGAAAAGTAGAACAAATTTAACTAAAAATATTTTACGAATTTTTCACTTCAAAGCATCCAAATTAAGTCTTTTTCAGATGGGGCAGAGCTCACCCACGTGGAAAACGTCCATTCGTTTTTCAGATGCAAAACAATACCAAAGGTTTGCCCCTGCAAGTGCAACCAACTTCTCGAGTCTTGACCCCTTAAACCCTGCTGCTAGATAAATAAAGTAGGGCTACTTAAGAGAATATTAAAATTTGATTATATTACAACACAGGCAACTCTTGCAAGAGCCACTGTTTCACAGGGCCACTTAATTAATAAGCAACTTAAACTCCCCAAATTCGCTCTTTTTATACCTTAAGAATCCCAGAGAAACATAGTATACATAAAAGAACATGCTACTCTGATACACCCCCTGAAAGAAAAAAGAAGTATTTTCCTTAGTTTTTTTCCCCGTAAGAAATCACTATTTCTTTTCTCAGATGAAATCCAATAGCAATCAATTACAACCTAACAACACTAATTTTACACACTCCCTATGAATATCATAAGTAAGCGTCCAGAAGGTGTTCAGGACGCCTCAAAAGAAAACAGACCTGTATTTATCACGCCTAGAGTATACAGCCTGTGAAGCAAACAGATCCGTTGACGGGTCTGTAATTGCATCCACAACATAATAATGGCGATGCAACAACCAAACTGGTCAAGCATTTATCTCCGAATTGCACTGGTGCTCCCTGCTGCAACTTCTTCTACCCCAGAACATGCTTGAACAAGTTGTCTTCTCCAGTCTTGGCCCTTCCATTTTATCCTGATCCGCTGTCGATGATTGTGAACGTGATTCATCTTCTGTTTCAGCTTCACGGGGTTCATATGAGGGACAGGGTCCATCGTTGCAGGTACACAGTGGAATTGCCATAGATGGAAACGGACTACAAGTGACAGGACAGAGTATATCTGAAGGTACAGAAGATACACGATTTCCTTGAGTATCTGGTGTGTGAGAAAGGGGAGGCCGATCCGGGTCACGGGGATGTAGCATGCATGGGGTACATAGGCCAAGCGACACATGCAATTTGTTTTCTTTTGCATGAGAACCAGGTAACTTGACAAAAGACACAACTGCGTGTCTACACAGTGGGCAAGGGATGGAGCCAGGAGGGCCAAGAATTTCAGAAGAAACATTGCTGGTTGAGCAGAGATAGAGTGCACATTTTACACAAAGCCCATGACCACACCCTGCATGTGGAAGTCCATTTAAATCACTTAACTTTTCTGGCACATATGGAAAGCATTATGAGCAAGAATTTCTTAACATTCCATCCATTGACCTAAAGAAATGACTGTCACTAATCAATAAGTTTTCCATGTCCATATCAAGTTCAGGAAATGGGAGAAGGAACGAAAGTTGCAATTTGATGCTGCATATACTGATCAATAGAGGGATGGGATAAGATTCCCCCCCCCTCCCTCTTTTTTTTTTTTTTTTAAATGAAAGAGGATGAAGTTTTTCAATTTGTCCTCCTTGATTTCCTTGTTTTGTGATCTCGTTTTCCTATTATGTCAAGAATCATTTCAACCCAAAGGCTTAATCATTTAAGCAATCCTAGACACAACATTGAAAACTTAGTGTCCAACGGGTCAAAAGTCCAACATGTGCTATTCAATTCTCTTAATCAAAATCGAGTTTCAATATAAAGTGTAGTGAGCCTATGTTTTGTCCCCTCTTCATCTCCAAAGGCCATTCATGTAAAGTGGTGCATCAGCGATATTAATAAAACTACTCATAAACTTCCACTTAGCATAAACTATTAATTGCAAACATCGAAAATTACAAAGGTGACGGATAATAAGTAGTTAGCCAACCCTTGAAGGATAATAAGTAGTCCTAATATTATAACTAGTCAAGGCTGATTAACTAAACAGATAGGGCAGTATCCACAAGAAAAAATAACTATGTACCTTCTGCAGCTACTGTACACGGCCTCTCCAGGCAGATGGCACAAAAGTCGGTCTCATGGGGTGATGGCAAAGATGACTGCAATCCACACTCCCTGCAGTTATTTCACATCATTGTTAGTCCTACTTATAACAGGAAGTTCATAACAAAAGTCATTCTTAGTCGTTTTACACAGCTACTGAAAAAGTTCACCAAGTTTTATTTGACAATTTGAAATTCTTAACGAAACGGTACAAGTCTTAAACTCAAGTCCCCAAGGTACAGCCACAAAGAGCTGCTTGCAAACGGCCACTTATTGAAGGATCAACATTAGCTTGTCTAAAAGACCATGTAGAGAAAATAGTGGAAATTCTGAAAGGATAAAATCCCATTTTGCATACAGACGAAACTGAGACGGCCATAAAAATAATTGACATATGATCCATTATTTTCTTTGTCAGGAAAGAATTAATGTTCTGCAGTGATGGCTTATACTTCAGGCACACTAGTTATTGATCAATTTTTCTTCTCCTTCCTTTTCTTTTCAAATTAAGGGGCATAAAGAGTAATCTGTGTCTTCCAACTGACTTAAGGAGAGTACTTTCACAGCTTCCCATATTCTTTTCCTGTCTCTTTTGCCCTTAACTACTCATCAGCCCCTAATAATTATTCAAAATGATCCAGAAACTCTCTTTTTCATTTCAATATAAACGTAGCTGACTGCTTAATACCTGGCTATGTTAAGCACGCTCATAAGAGGCAAGCACAAGTAATTTGAAGGAGGGAATGTAGGTATTGTGGCATCAGAACTGGGTGTCAGCAATGGTTCAAGCCAATGGCGTCCCCACATCCTAGCAACATCAAGAGGAAGCCATCTGGGGGAAAATATTCTGACTTATATTGGTTTTGTGTCATAAGATAAAAACTCTAGGGTTATATATGCAAATATAATATCATACCCGTTGCAATTTAAAGCCATCCGACTTGCACCTCTTGCTAGGAGGATCTGAAAGTGAAGAACGTCATTGTTATAATGAAAGGAAAGCACCAGAAGTAATACGTATATAGTATGTATAAACTGAAGGAATTCTTACCTGGCAACATTTTAAATTTCCCCCACAAGCAGCATAATGCAATGGAGTGCTTCCGGCTCCTTTAACAAGAATATTATTCTTTTGAGGGGAAAACCACCTTAATAATGTTTATCAAATTAAGGAAAATATATACCTATTAAATCCATTGATGTTCCATAATGAAATGTCACAGCTGACAGATTTGCATCAAGGTCAAGTAGCAGTTGTACACAATCAAAATACCCATTTAAAGCGGCCATATGAAGTGCAGTGATACCACCATCAGCTGTCTTATTTACAAACTTGGACAGCGCACTGCACTGGAACAAGGTAGATAAATAGAAAGAACACAAAATATAGAAATAAAAAATTTTCTGCTACATATCATCAGTGAAATTAGGAGCCAAACTAATATCACCCAAAAGAAAAATATCAATTTCATATATTTCTGCAGCAAAACCATGCATGGCCTTCCATTCAACATTTTATCTTAGACTTAATCGTGCAGGGTAGTAACTTCCTGTGTGACTTTATAAGCACGAAAACATGGTAATTTCAACATGCATACCTTTGATCATGTTTGTTCTTCACATTTGAGCCGTTGGCTCTTTCAGCATCTGAGCTAGTGTCTCTGGCTTCATTAAGAGTGCTTGGAACAAAGTTAGCCACAACAAGTCTGATACATCTTACGTGGCCATTGACAGCTGCAAAGTGAAGAGCTGTCCTCCCACTGAGATAATCTGCTCTCATAACCTGCTAGTGAATTGACTACAGTCTGGTTATTCTTGAAAGGCAGGTCTAACCATGAACAGAGGAAAATTAATATGCAGGAAGACCAGGTATACAAGTCCTACATAGTCGAAGTTTTCTAAGTAAACTTTCAGCGTATAATCTTCACAGGACAGTAAATGTAAAATTATGGGGAAATACAGTTTTCTTTAGATAGAATTGATGGTATCCAGAGCTAATCGAAGGCAATTTAACAGGACTCACATTGCATCTGAAAAGCATAAGGGTCTGTACAACTTCCCAATGCCCATATCTACAAGCTTGCATCAGGGCCGTCTTCAGAAGAGGCATCAAAGTGAAACATGATCTCAAGTCAGCACAACATATACAAGTATAAAAAGTTAAAAAAAAGAATACGTAGCATCTCAATTAAATCTTAATAAATTTCGTCGTAACATGTTGGCATCAATTGAATTGATACCAGAACCCAGATCTCTCGATTTTCACTTACTCTAGATAAGACAGACAGCACTTCGTTGTATGGGATGAAATCATTCTCTTAAATTTTTAATAGCTGAGACCAAAAAGTGAAATCTGATTTCCAAGTTCATACACAAAACAAATCCTCGAACTTAATAAAAATTCACTGCCGAATCTTGCGCGCCATTTGTAATCACATCGTGTAAGTTGGTCAACTCAAATCGAATACCCGAAAAATTCAAACATAAACCCATGATCAAACGGCCACAAAAAGGGAGAACAGAATAGATGAAAATCTCACCTGCCCGCAATAATTTCTCGAGTTCACATCAGCTCCATTGTCAAGCAACAATGCCACAATCTAATTGAGGTAAAAACAAAATACTATGAGAATCAAACGGGTAGTGAGATGATAAAAATAGAATCTCGAAAACAAAAAAAGAAAAAAGATCAGGGCACGAAACCTCGTTATGGCCCTTCGCGGCCGCGAAGTGGAGAGGCGAATTGAGGCCACCGAAAGTAGAATACTTGGCAAGACAAGGGTTAAAGTCCAGAAGCATTTTGGCCTCAACCAAATCGCCGTCCCTAGCAGCCGACACCAACCTCTCGCCGGAGGCGGAGCACCCAAATGAATTCCCCATGAGAGCCCAGAGTCAGGATTTCCGCAGCAAACCCACTGTGGAGCAGCAAATCTTGAGAGTGAAACAATGTTAGGTGAACGAGACAGAAATAAGGAAGGCAGAAACTGGGCAAAAACTTCACGCAATGGGATATAGGAAGGGAAGAAGAGACTAGGAGTTCGGTTGAGAAGTTGAGGATGTTGACGTGGAAGATATGTGAGAGTCGTCCTTGGCTCTCTCTCTCTCTCTCCCTCTCCCTCTCTGTGTTGTTATGTCCTGTGAATCTGAGAAGGAATGGAATGAATAGAGCCTTGAGAGGCTCCTGGGGTCGGAGTTCTGACTTACGTGGGTAACAAATAAAGGTGATAGTAGAAACCGCTAACCTTACCTTCTGTGTTCTTTTCTTCTTGTCTTCTTTACGAGTTTCCCCCGCTCTTCCCCTTTCTTTCTTTGTCTCTCTCTCTTGAGTGTAGATTAAATTAAATTATTGGATTAAATATCTACATTTGATTAGCTTCTACTGTGTAACACACAAAATTCATATTCATATCATCATGAATTAATGGCGTGAGTGGAAGCTCTTTTACCTTAATTAAGTGACTGGAAATCCAAGTTGTGTAAACAGTTTAATTAGCAGATTTTTGTTTATCACTATAGCTGGAGAAAGAGAGATACAGAATTTATTTCTATATTTATCTAAAAAACAACTCAATTAAGAAGTTTTTACATCCTCCTTGTATGACAGTATAACACCAAAAAAAAAGTGTAACAATTCAGAAGTTCTTAATAAAAAAAAAACTATTTTTCAGGCAGTAATAATGAGAATGTGAAATTCATAGGGCTACCTTATTCGGCAAAAAGAAATTTTTTTCTGTCATTACATGAGATTTAGGTAACAAGTCTTCATTTAAAAATATAAAAATATATTAAATAATTCAAATGAGAATATGTGATTCTTATGTTAATAGTGTAATTTATTATAAATTTTATTGATATTAATAATTAATAATTTATTAAAAATTAAACTGAAAAAGGTTGGAACAACGTTTCAAAAGTTAAATTATTAGTTGGCCAAAAAAAAAAAGTTAAACTATTAACATACCCGAGAGGTTCCCGCCCAACTTGATCCTAATTAGTTTGGGTTATATTAGTTTTCTCAGCTCAATGTAGGAGAGGTCTAAGATATTAGGTATTTTATAAAAAAAAATATTTATATTATATATATTAAATAAAATTAGGAAGTAGAGGCCTGCAATAAAATAAAAAGGCAAGGAACGTCCCTTCCTAAATTGTTAAGTGATATTCGAATGACTCAGAAAGAATATATTAGTCGGAAGCAATAATTATAAATTAAACCTAACCTCACGGCCAAAAAATTAAAAAAATAAAATAAACCTAACCTCAATTATTCCGGTGATAGTCGTAACAGGCGCATCCTTCTTTGTCTTATCTGGGAAAATAAAGTATGTGAAACGGGATCTCTATCCCTAAAGTCTTCCAAAAATGAAATTCATGCCTTTGCATTCTAATCCACCACAATGTTTTTCCCAATTTATATAGCAAGTCTTTCTTCCTTTCTCCCATTCGGTGGAAATTGACCTCTGCACATCTCAATCGATATATTTCTTTTATTGATCAAAGTTATTTTTTTATTAAAATAAATATTTTAATTCGTATTGCCATTGAAATGATAAGAGAATAAAAAAAATAAGGAAAACGGGGGACTCCTCCAGCTCTGCAAGACACACACACACACACACAAATAAAAATAACAAATTTACGTTTTTGACGTACCAATAAATTGTTTAACCTTTCAAATGTCAAAGTGTCAAACTAAACACGTGTCATGCCAACAGCACAACATTATGAGTTAAGCAAGGATATAATTAAAAAATAAAGTACTCATCCGATCATAGTTATAAGATAAAATTTTAAAAGTTAAAACCTCATTTGATTATGAATATAGGATCAGGATATAGTAATTAATTTTAAACAATATTATTCCTTCTCAATTTTATCAAATTGTAATTCTTAAATACAAATTATTATCGTGAATAGTAAAATTGAAAACTCAAATACTTTTTTAATTTATCAATATTACTTGCATTTCCTGAAAAATACGTTCACCTAAAAATGGACTTGAACGTGTCATTGATTAATTTGTTGTTTAACTGTAAATAACATAATAATGAGCGCCCCCTCACATGCTTTAATTATTCGAAATTATTGGTGATGATGTGGCTGCATCGCTATTTAATATATCTTCGTCTTTCATCCTATAAATAATAAATATTCTATCTGAATAAAAAAATAAAATATAATTTTTAAGAGGCTAGATGTTTAAAATATACTCCCTCTATTAAAAAATATAAAATATTTTTAACTGAATCTCACCCTTAATAAAGTTATTATTTACTTTCATATTAATCCTATTTTTTTATATTTATCCCTATTAAATACCCTACAATAAATATAAAGTCATTATTACACATCAAAATACTAAAAATATTTTATATTTTTTAACATTTAATTTTTAAAAAAATATTTTATATTTTTAAATTGAGAAAATAAAAAATAATTATTGTCAAGCATGTCTTGCGGTATGAAAATATGAAAATTTTGCTGTATTCCGGCCTACATGTAAAATTCAATCCACAAATTTAAGAACTGTTGTTTGGCTGACAAAACAAGAGGAACAATTTCATTACCTTATACTTTCTTACCTTCTCTAAACACAATTTAATTCACACTATAAGTTACTAAATAATGTGATTATTTTGTTTTAAATTAAAATTTTTAAACTATCCTGAAAAAATAAAAGAGAGGTAAAAAATAATATTATATAATTAATTTACTTTTTACTTTAGGATTATGTTAGACATTTCACTTACTTTAATTCATTATATTTTGATTATATTAATATTGATGAAATTAATAAAAATAAATTATAAATAAAATCAGATGGAGTATCAAATAAAATGGCTTGACTCTAAATATAATTGTAGGTTTAATTTTTATGAACAAAAAACCGCTTTAAAAACTACTCTTTTTAATAAAAAACACACCTCAAATTCAAATCATAGCGTTAATGTTAAATAGCAGTTGATTTTTTTTCCCTTTTTAAAGAATACTCACTCTGATCCTAGATATGAGAGTCATTTGCTTAGTTTATGAAGATTATAAAAATGTTAACTCAGTATTTACTCCCTCCATTTTTATATATAAAAAAAAACTATATCACACAATTTAAGAAAATTAATTAATCATAATAATTATGTTTGAAAATAAAAAAATTAAACTAAAATACCTTATGTTAATCAATAAAAGCATACATTAATTATTTTTTGATAATGTAAATTATAAGGGTAATTTAAAAAATATATAATAAATGCTTATTAAAATATGTAATTTTACTTATATTAAAAAATAAGTAAAAATAATATTTTTTTTACAAATAAAAACGAAGGAGTATTTGCAATTAAAATTTGTGATAATTTTCCTAAAATACCTCCACCATTTAATTAGGCTAATAATTTGGAATCATTTAAACAAAGGAATTGATAGGCATTATATAGGGGTATTGCAGGAAAAAAAACATTTAATGTGGTAGTCTGGTAGACATGGCTCTTGCATTATAATCAAACTAAAATATCAATAACTTAGCACTTCGCTTTGGTTAGCGATTGATTGTGATTTAATTCTGCTAACCTCAAGCATTTAGCTTGTCATATATACGTACTCAAGAATCAAACCAATATATATGAATGATCATTGCTAAAAAGACAAAAAAAAAAAATACTCGATAAGTTTTTCTAAAAATTATGTCTACTAAATCATAAGTATCATTTGCTCAAAAAAAAAAAAGTAAATCATAAGTGTCAGTATTTTTTATTTTACCTTTATTATCATCTTCTGGGAAGGTGAGGACCAACACAAGTGGAATCCAAATACCAAAGTCCAAGCAGTACTAGTACTTGGATTTAGCAGTACCTGACACAGCATAGAGGAACAGTCAAAGCGCGTGTCGCCTCGTGTGTATAAAAAGATATATCGTACTCCACGGACCACGCTATTCCGGACCCACCAAAAGGAAAAGCTATTCTCACATGTCCCTAGAGATATGAGTCGTACACGTGGATCAATTTTAATGATCTCCTTTTTAATAAGCGGGACCCCCTTGATCCAACCATCATCAACGGTTCATAAATGTTTGCTTGAGAATGCGGTCCCGCTCATGAAACCCGAACATCCCCGCATTAATTGCTCATCTTAGAATTTCATTGTGAGAGACCGCGCGATCATTTTTTATGACGTGCATAGAGAAATAAATAATTATGATGATTTTCTAATGTGTAGATCTTATTTAAAAAACTTTGATATTATGATTTTAAATAATTTACTGGATGACTATAAGAATTTTATGACTTTAAATATGATTAGGATTTAACTTTTCTGCACGATTTTGTCATGACCTTTTATCCCAAAAAAAAAAATTGCTCGTCTTAGATAGAAAAAATTCTTACCAGCTCCAAAAATATCGCCATATTATAACCATATTGCAATCTACGAGTACTCCCAGTGCATCACTAACTATTAATCAAGCAATCAGGTAATTAAATTATTAATTTTAAATTTGAAAGTAGAATAACTTTTAATTTCAATTTTATTTAAATAATTTTTTTAATTTACATTACATTCTCTCTCATGAATGGATTTATATAAAAGTAATATTAAATAAAACATAATTGACACTCCATTTATTTAAAAATATGAGACATTTTTTTTATGTAAGATTTTAAAAAATATAAGGTATTTTGAGTATTTCAAAATGTAATTAATGATATTTTTAAAAAAATAAAATAAGAATGTAACTAGTAAGGTTTTTTAATTAAAAAATTCTATTAAATAAGAATAAATATAGAAGGAATGTATAAACTTGAAAGATAATCAACTAATTCAGTAAACAACATGATCCAATTAACAATGCTTTATAGTATTGGATGGAGGGAGTACTTCAAATGCCTTATAACTTATATTAAATATTAAATAATTATTCTATGCCTTGTAAAGGAGAAGTAGGTTCTCTTAGCCTAATCACCTCACATAGACTTGAAAATTTAATCAAGGTTAAGCGATTTTATTAAATTTGTCAATAATTTAAATTGGGTTATAAAATTTCTCTTAACCTCCCCACTTTCTCTCTCTTCATTTTTAAGTTATCAAGTATGGAAAATTGTATTAGCTCCAACGACAAGACTTGGACACTTGTTAGAGCCTATTGTTGGTTCAAAATTTAGTTCATTATTTTAAAATTAATATTTATTATTTTGTTTTA